CATGACTGCGAGTGCCTTACTCCTTTCATTATTTTAAAGGTCTCTGTACTTTCCCCATTTAATAATAATATTTGTCTTTTGGGTGGAGTATATTGTTTCTATTAATCTTTCAAATTGGTCCCCTAATTTCATATTCTTAATTTGTTGTATCATGAATTCCCAATTTAAATTGTCAAATGCCTTCTGTGCATCCAGAAAGACAAGTGCTAATTGTTTCTCTGGATGCGACTCATAGTACTCTAAAATATTTGCTATTATTCTAGTGTTATTCCTGATTTGTCTTGTTGGGGGAAGAAGCTGCGCTCAGGCTCCCCCAAGTCGGTGGCCCGGGAGAGCAAGATGTTCAGGATCTCGGAGGAGGAGAAGTCCTTGGTGTGCGACTCGCCCAGGTCGTTGTAGCTCTCTGTGTCTTCGGTGATGCTGTTGTTGGAGCTGAGGCTGGCCAATATTTGCCCTTTGGGTGGAGTATATCGTTTCTATTAATCTTTCAAATTGGTCCCCTAATTTCATATTCTTAATTTGTTGTATCATGAATTCCCAATTTAAATTGTCAAATGCCTTCTGTGCATCCAGAAAGACAAGTGCCACTTGTTTCTCTGTCTCTGGATGCGCCTAATAGTACTCTAAAATATTTGCTATTATTCTAGTGTTATTCCTGATTTGTCTTGTTGGGAGAAATCCATTTTGGTGTGGATGTATATAGTCATTTAATAGTTTTTACAATCTCTCCGCTATTATTGTTGTGAATATTTTATAGTCGGCATTTAACGACGAGATTGGCCTATAATTTTGAATCTGTTTTTTATCTGCATCTTCTTTAAATATTAATGTAATATGTGCTTCCCTCCATGAATCCAGTATTTTTGCTTTCATCAGTGCCTCATTATACATCTCCAACATCAAGGTTCTATCAATTTGTTCAATTCATCTATTATTTTGTACCATTCTTCTTTGTACCAGTTTTCTTTCTTGGTTATTGATGGAGACATGCCTGACATTACAGATCCTGGCAGCATCTCTCTTTGTAAAACATATAAAAGTATCCCCTGGTGTGCGGTTAGGACATGCGGAGGTGCTGCTTACCTCCAACGCCAAATACCACATTAATCGTGTTGGTATGAAGGTTTACAGCATTCCTTCAGGCAGTCTTGTGTGTAACCAGGAAAACCTATTTCTAGGACAGTTACCTAAGCAGTTAGTGATTGGCTTCGTGGACAACGCTGCATTTTGTGGTAATTATGAAATAAATCCTTTCAATGTTCAGCACTATAATGTCAACTTTTGTGCCCTGTATTGTGACAGTGAACAAATTCCTGCTAAACCCCTTCAGCCTGATTATGAACATAACCTTTTTGTGAGAGAATATATGCAATTGTTACAGACGTCTGGCAAAGACATGAAAGATCATTGTCAGGCCTGCAACCATATTTTCTTTGGTCTGCCACAATTTCTATTATTCTGCTATGCATTTTCCATTGTGGGAAAATGGGTGGGGGGATTGTAAAAAGTCACATACTATGTAGTCACAACAAAATTCTTTCTAGAAAACCAAGGTTCATCCTTTGTCTCTTCACCTCTGCACCTCACCAGAACTGGATGGGTGGAAGCTGCCAGCATGGTAGTGGAAGATTTGAACATGTGATGGGCTTGTGGGTGTGGGGGCAAGACCTTGAACTTTCAACTGGGTGGGGAAAACCGGGAAGCTTTCAGATTCAGGTTTTCCCAGATGTGGCAATATGGCTTAATAAATTGGAACTTTGAGCAATACTTTGCCTTGGACTCTGATTTACTTTTGGATGCTATTTGGAACCCTGACATTAACCCGAATATCCATTAAAATACTTCACCAGCTACCCTGAATTTCAGGGTGCTGTCCAGGGTCCGGCACTGACCCAAGCCCAGGTGTAAAGACTCAGGGAAGATGGAGGAATAGAAGAAGCCCACAGAGAAAGCAGCAGATGACAGATCGGCTATCTATATCGAGACCTTCTATGTGCCTTCAAAAGCCGTGGTGGAAGCCACGGAGAGGGAACGCCAGCTGGGAGCCAGGCGCAAAGAGCCGGCCCCTAGGCATCCCTTGCAATCGGACCTAACTCTGCAAGGTGAAGCCACGGGATTTACTTCCCCTAAGGAGTTGCTGTTGGAGCCACAGGGGTGTGTGGGAACAGCCTCGACACACGAGTGGAGGGGACCAAAGCAGACACCAACCAGGCGCTCTGATGATTGGGGATCCCAGCCACCCTCACGCAATCAGTCTCTGACCGGCCTCCCAGACCAATTTGGACAGCTTAATGTGAGTGGAATCAACCCTTGCCTTAGCTCTGAACCACCCAGGTGGACCATGGCCCAGCCAACGTTCACCTTCCCGGGTCAAGGTTTCTCAACACAATGGAGTGAAGATTTATACTCGTTCCATACAGCAAAAAGCGGGTCAGCCCAAAACCTCGCCGCTGGAATAAGACCAACGGCAGTGCCCCTTCACCCTGGGACACAGACAGCCATCAACCGGGATGGGGAAATCAACCCAGCCAGCAGCAGAGGGGGTGAGGGATTTCTCCCCCTAACCAGCCACTGATGTTTGGGTTGCAACATGCAAGTCAAGTCCCACCAGGGTGGGCTTTCTTCCTGGGCCATGGATAGGCACAATACCAATGGACGCCTGCCCCTCCTCAGCAGATGGCACTGTTTCAGATAACTGGCCTGGGGCAACCCCAGGGAGTGACCCTTCAACAGGTTCCGGCCCAACCGCCACCGCAGGGGCAGCCCTCAGCTGCAATGCCCCAACAGGTTCCTGCCCAACCTCAGCCGCAGGGAGCAGCACCGCAAGTGGGGCTCCAGCCCCAACAGCCCACCCAATCACCCATGCAAATCCAGGTACTAGACCTGCTGGCTCCTGCACCCCCTTGATTTTGGGCAAGAAGAAGCAAGAGAAGTTCTTCAAGCCGGTGATCAAAAATCCAGCCAAGGCTGACAAAGTCGAGGTGGCTTCAAAATGGAAGGATACGGAAAGAGAAAGTGTTTCCAGATGGTGAGGAATTTTCATTGTTTTAAAAAAGAGACTGCCTATAAAAACTCAAAAACCAATTTAAATTAAAGAATAGAAGNTCTTGAAAAAAACTGCTCTGATCGAGTAACAACATTTTGGGATACATCCACAGACATTTAAGTACACATTATGACATTTGCACCTCAAGCATTAAGCTAATTTGAAACTGATTTGTTTTCCACATCAGAAATTTGTTATTCTATACAAAAGATCCAGGTTAAATAAACTAAAGAGAAGTAAACTGCTATGAATGCAGAAATAAAGAAGCATGAACTGAGATCATTATAGCTGTGCATATTTGGAAATGAAGTATGAGTACAGAACTTTTCTATTGTTCATTAAAGCAGTTGTCTATTTCAGGCTCTATGGAAGCCTAAAAGTAGATGCTGCTGCTTTAAAATACAGACTTCTTAAAACTAAATAAAGGAATTTCTTTTTAGTATCACACAGAAGCCTGGGGGTAAAAAATAAATAAATAAGATGAGGGTGAATTAATGAACAGTGAAGAGAAACTGCAGTTGCAGGGAGTCTGACTACCTCTTCTTCATCATTTTCAAAGCAGATTCAGCTCTAGTAATGACACACAAAATTGGATTAACATTGGGAATTGGATTAAATAGTAAATCAACATGCTAAGACCTACAAGAGCAAAAATCGGACAATCTTTCTAAAGATGACAATGGGAGCAAACTCAATTTGTCCTAAAGCCAGTCTGATAGATATACTTGCCCTGTGAAGAACAGTAGGCTCTTCTAGGGTCCCAGTCTCCAGAGACTTAAGTATAATATAGACAGTTCAAGCCCAAAAGTGCTTTTTTCCTTCCAACTACAATGTACCAGAATGTCTGGCTACCTGTTCTTTCTTTTTGCCTTCTTCCAGTTGCCTTCTGAAAATTAGATTCAGTTTCATCTATCTGTACATATTTCTGATGGTTATTTTATGTCTTATTATCCCGCTTGCCATGGATAACAGACAATGTTCCAAAGTAACAGAGAAAAATGTTATTGCCAGGCAACATTAAAAAAAAAAACACCTCTATCTGCTGGTCAGAGATGCAAAAAGGATGACCAATAATGTTGAAAAAATAGTTGCTTCAAATTTTACCCATCTGAATCTTTGATACATTTTCCAGTTGATGGTGATACTTTTTCTGGCTAAGCAACATAAATTGCCTTCTTCTCCAGAACCTCCCAGATTGAGCTATTCTATGTTGACACCCACTATAGTAGATGTGTTAGGACACCGTTCCTCAAACTACAGTCTGCAGACCAGATATGGCCCACCAATGCAAAGTATCCAGCCCATGGAATGGAGGGATTCACCCTGCCCCTCACCCTGCTCCTCCCCGTCGGCCTTATCTTTTAGTGAGCATCCACTCAAGCTGCACTTCTGGTTAGTTATTTCACCATTTGAGCTGCTCTTCTGATTATACCACTGCTGCCAAAAGTAAGGCCGAAGGGTGCTGGGGAGGACCAACTAGCAATAGCAATAGCAGTTAGACTTATATACTGCTTCATAGGGCTTCCAGCCCTCTCTAAGCGGTTTACAGAGTCAG